TGCCATTTTATCTATTAGAACAACTAATGTCAAATGGTGAATTGCCATAACCATACTGGACTTAAGTAAAATTCTGTACTGCTTATAGCAAATATGGTCACCTTGCTAATTTTAATGCAGTCTAAGGTTAATAAGGTGTAAGGATTAATTTAGGTAATCCTCAACAGTCCGAGGAAATGGAAGGATTAATACTTATTAAAGGATAATGTTGAATTATGACAACTAATAAATTATTTATAACTTTATGTCAACATTCTCTTATTTATACCACTTAAAAGACTTATGGAATGTGTCCTTATCCTGACTGTCCTGACTGTTTTACCTTTTCCTTTTATTTATTTTTTTTTCACTTTTTCCTTTCTTTTTTTGTCTTAAGGAATGGCCAATTTACATGCCAATAGGATGCACCTTAGAACTTCCAGGTGCTCAAAGCATTTGAAAGCTATTTTATTGTACTTTCGATACAGTAGATTTGTATAAACAATTTTGGCAAAACCAATTCAATTTTCTTTTTATGAAATCACTACTTAAAACAGCTAAAGGAAAGTTTGTTAATCCTTTATATGCATAGAGGTCCCAAAGTAAGAGAACCTGGACACGTTCAGGGCTAAAGACATTTGAGATCTGCAGATTCTTCTAGACTCAATGCTGAATTTAGAAAAAATGCTGATTTTAGAGAAGTTTCTTGGGATGTTTTTTGAATCTAAAGCTCATGGAACACAAATCCAAGTGGATCAACTTAGTACAATGTAGGAGTGATCTACTTTCCAGTTATTAGTCTTACAAAAACTTGACAAATTGTTTTCTAAAATCCAGTTTATCTACCATGCTGCTAAGAAATAACCTCTATTGCTTTTTCCCCCCCTTTTTTTTTTCTTTCTTTTTTTTTTTTTCTATGCAGTTCAGAGTACTTGCATTTGGGTTAAATGTTGGATTTCCTTAATCATATTTGGCATTATGTCATTGCTAGAAGTGTGTCTAAACATCACTGAAATGATTTAACTAGGCAACTGCACTCCAAAGAGTTTGTCTCTTGATAAAATAACTGCGTAACCTTCATTCATCCGGCAGTATCACAATTCACTGTCTGGCATGTAACTCTAATACGCATTGAGCTGGTATTGCATGGTGCTGCATAACAACATTTTTTAGAGACAAAAGCCACGTTGCAATCACTGCTTTAGTAGGTGCTTGGTACTGCCAAAGCCTGGGAAAGCTTAAAAGGATGCCTAGATTTGTCAGGTAGCACCTAGCAAATTCTATTGCTAGTATATTGCCACTGAAATATGAATAGAAATGTTTCAATTGAAATGTTTAATTAGAGATCCAGACTCAGGACTGCTTTCAGCAGCAGGGTGTGCTCATTTTCTAATGTGTGCAAATGAGCTGTTGCGTCGCGATCATGATGAAAATATAACAGGGAAAATTCATATACAATGTCATAAAATTCCTTGATTAAGTCTTGCAAGTGTGGGGAAGGTGACTAAAAAGGCTTTGTCCTAAAATTATTTTTTCTGGCAGTTAGAGTGGGAGTAAGTTAGTCTTGAGTGCTGCTGTCAAAAGAAATCCAAGCATTCTTCTGCTATCCTGAGCCAATCATAGAAACGCAGTGTCCAGTGTCTAATAGAAATGGACAGTTGTGTTACAGTTTTGCTTGGCTAATTATTATACTGACTGAAAGCGATAGGCAGTGCAAGGCAAGGATGTCTCATCTCATATTAGCAGGTAGCTCATTTCTTCATTCCTCACTTTTATTTGCATTCTACTTTTGCAAACTCATAGTTCCTGGAGTAATGACAAAACCCATGCATAAAAGTTTGTGGAATCTGTGTTAATGGCAAGACAGAACCTGAGGCAAGATTGGACAGTGGATGGGAAGAAGGAACTCTAGACCAAGCATCACTTATCTCGTAACTGGGATTTCTGAGAGATGCTACTGCAGTAGGATGAGTTCAACAGTAATCAAAGACGCGGGTTACCAAATGTGCAGAGCTGATTGAAGTTCCTGTGTATTATCTTTAGTCCCAAGGGTGCCAAAATTACCTCAAAACCTGTAGTTGTCAGTAATTCAAAAGAAGAGCAACTTGAGGAAGATGATTACATCCTACTTTTAAAACTACCTTGAGACTGATTGGGAAAAGAAAAAAAAACACTTTATTGCCTTGGTGATTCAGCATAATACACAAAGATTAATGTATCAAAACTTTTTCTACCCACCCATTCGTAGGATGCTGGTGAAATAATTTCTGATACTGGAGATTTTTCTGTAGCATTAGCCTGTTTTCCTATTTCTTTTCCTTTACATACACATGCTCAGAATAGAGATTTCATTCTGAGCTGTCAAAAGATCTGAACTACGTTACTTGCTGTTGTTCGATAGTCCCAGACTTCCCCATGGATATGGTATAAACCAGTAGAAAAAAAGAAAATCATCTGAAATTAACTTCTACAAAAGAAATGAGAGAATATAGTTTTCCATCATGCTAAATAGGTAGTTTTAGGTTTTATAGAGAAAAGTACTTCATTTGTGTCTAGCGCTTCACTTTTCTCTATAAATGACATCTTTAGTCTTTTAGAATTAATGTCTTAAAATTACTTGCTTTAAATTCTCTGCTAAAGAGCTTCTATAGCCTTCAGTTTCTTACTGTGCAAAGACACAGAACCTTTCAAAAGACAGCATATAGATTTACAGGTATTTTTCATTTTATTTGTCATATAGTGCCAGAAAAATTTAAAGTAGATGGATTAGATATGAAGTTAAAGGCCGAAGAAGAGGAGGGTACTAGTAATCTATCTAAAGCTTATTTAAATTTATGCCTTAGTGCCTCTAGTTGGGCTCCTGTCTGAGCAAGGATGCTCCGCTGCAGCACGTCTTGTGCTCACGTGTTCAGAGTTTGTGCCTGCTCTGCGGGTTGTATTTGATGCAGGATTCTGGAGGGATCTTGTCTTGGCTGGGAGGCCAGAGGCACTCGAGCTGCAGCAGCACAGGGCTCCCCGTGGGATGATTTACCCCATTCCAATGTGACAGTCCATTGCTCGGGGACTAGAGGGACACGGATGTCACCCGTGCCATAGCTCGGCCGCCAGAATGCTCTACGAGCACATTTTCAGCTGATGCTGTGCTCTGGAAACCACAGTCTACTGCACCATAAATTTGGCGATTCAGGGCAGAGTTGGTGAGCATATTTGTAACATCTGCTAACTGAGAAAACATCTCAGATACAGTAAAAAATCATAATCGTATTTCTTTCATGGCTGAAGAGCAGTGCCAGCACACATTAGGATTACCTATTATGGATGTAGACTAAACTTTGCAGCTCTTATGCAATTATTACTGACAAAAGATTAAGCAAGCAAGTGCATTTATTCTGTGTATAATATATTATCCATATAAATTTTTAGTCCAGATCAAATCTAATGATGCCCTGAGGCTAAATATGTTTTTGCAACCTTTATGAAATGTATTGACCGATTGTTTCTTAGAGGAAAAACACTCCTTTTTCATTGTAACAAAACCTTGTTGCTTCAACTGCCATCCACCTTTTAATATCCTCTTAATACCAAGTGAAGACAAACACTGCACTCCATTTTGCTTTCTCTGACTTAACGTCTCTTTCTACATAGATGACTGCACTACATTTCACCTGCATAACTTTTATTATCTTCCCAAGGAACTCTCTATTTAATTTTCTTCTTGGCTGCTGTTTAAAGTTGATAAAGAGTCATGCTAAATTCTTTGCATACCCAGCATTTGATTTGGGGGAAAAAAAGGAAGGAAGAAGAGACGTATGAGAGAGGTGCAGGTATTTTTGCTTCTGTGACAGTCAGCTAGGCACAGCTCATTGCTCAGGAAGGGACCCTGCATCCGAAGACAAACATTATTAACCAGCAAAGTTACGTCTGCTCATGAACTGAAGATCAAGTTGGAAATACGCAGATGTACCTGAGTGACTGTTAGTGCAGTTAGTCACACATTCATGGCATCAAGGGTTTCAGCAGATGGCCTTAGTTCTGCTTAATTGCTCTGTTGAATATGATTATTCTGATTTTGTTCACACGTGCATAGGATTGTCCTTTCTTTGTAAACATATGTGTTAGTGACTAAAAAGTGGCCTTTGCTTAGGTCTTACACCAATAAAACTTCTAAGGCAAACATGGGAGAGCAGAGCCAAGTTCATAGGATGTTAAACTCCAACCTGCTGAAGGAATTTCCAAATCTAACACCTAAACAACAGCTGCAATAGTGTTCAACTATTGAGTATTTTCCTCATTTATAAATGCAAACTGTTTCTAGTCACAGTCATAAAAGAATCAACAGATTTCTTCCAAAAATTGCAGTTCGCCTGTAACTTGCCATTACAGGAGAATTTTACAGAAATTTCTGAGCACGACTCTGGTTAGAGCCAGCCGAAATTAACTGTCAAAGGATTTTGTAAAAACCTCATGCAAAAAACAGTAGAATCTAAAAGAAAACTGCTACTTTGCTTTAAGCTATCACATATGATACTCTATCTGGGGCCTGGTTATTAAATTCTGTAAGATAAGTGCCCCAAACTTCAGATTTTATTAAATCATGCAGAGATTAACAGACAATCATTTAATATTAAAAAGAGATGAGGTTTTACTATGTTCAGAACTACTGGCAAGAAAAGCCTTGCTTCCTTGCCAGCTCCTGGCTTGGAAAGCTGTGCTGAAGTGGCACAACAGGGTGTCTTGGTGCTACAGGCCAGGGACATGTGGAACTGTGACCATCCGACTCGTGTAACTCTCATGTAATCCCGTCCAGCATCCCTGCACCTCCCAGGATGCAGCCCCGTGGAGCTGCCAAAGCCCATCTGGAAATGCAGGCTCCTTTAGATGCAGAAATCTTGCAGGGCTATTTTATATTTGTGTTAAAATAAATCTTGTTTGTGCTTGGGGGGAATCTAAGTGCTTGGGGGGAATGGTTAAAGTAAATGAGAACGATGTTGAGCCACAGAATACCACCTCTTGAAGAACAAGAGATAAAAATTCTATTTAAAAAAAGGTTAAAATAAACCCACAGGTTCTTGATGAGATTAGGACTAATACAACTTAACTTTTTAAATTATTGCTTTATCAAAAAGTCATTTTGTTGTTTGAAGTTAATTGATTAAAACATTATATTACACGGAAGGACTCTGAGTTAGATTCAGTTCCAAAATAACTCTGAGCTGTTCTGTTGTCCTAGTGCAATTTAGCTGAACTTGCATGTTTGCTGGAAGATGCACTTTTGTTACTAATATTGCCAACTTTGACTTATTGCAGGCTGCCCAATGGTGATCTGCATAATTTCTGCAGCATCAGCCTTAAACAGCTATGGCGAAAATAACAAGTGAGTATGAAAATGTCTTCATGGCAGTTATGGTGAGAATGAAAAAGGTGGTGGGCAGGATCCCTCTTGCAGACCCTTCAGCAGGGCCACAGTTCAGCACCATCTTGCTGACAAGTAGCGAGACAGGCTGTCTGAAACAGAAACATGGTGTTTTGTAGACACGTTCTTATATCTAGAAGCCTCACGTTTGCTTTTTACAGCTGAAGCAACATCTGTATTTATGCACTCTAAGCTCCTGAGTTGTTCTGTCTATTTTTCCCTTTGCTGCAGAGGTGTAAGGGCACCTACAAGGACCTCTGCTTACCCCACAGGCAGAGTAAATCACAGGCTGGAACATAGCTAATGAGATGAGAATAATCTTTGATTAAAGATATCTATTCTTCTAAAAGAACTTCATTGAAACATCTGGACATTTAGAATTGGTATTGTTAAAAATTTGCGCAGAGTTCCAGTATAAACTGAAAATAAAAACCCACTGAATCTATCTGAGAATACCGTAGTATTCAATCCTACCACAGTTTAAGGAAAAGATACACAGCAGTTGTTGTTTTGCTGTGTGGTAAATTAACTTTTCTAGTCACTGATGTAAGAAAGAAGGGTGAATTTTGTATCATGTTTCCAGCGAGGCAAAGAAGAAAAGTTTTAAAGCTTTCTCTTGCTACAATGGCTGTGCTCACAGCAAACAAATGAAGGCCCCCTATACAGTGCAGGACAACAGATAACAAATAACACATGGGCTTTTTTTTCTCTTTTTCCATCCCTAATGCCATGGCAAGGCATGTCAGAGCCAGCTGCACTGGCAAGACACAAAGCAGAGATCCTGCCCCTGAGTCCTTGTGGATGTGGGGGAGCAGGAAGCCCTTGCTGATGGGCTATCGGCCTCTCTTTGAAATTCATCCATGGTGTTGCATTCTCTTTTGCTCTTTTTGTTTAAGGACATGACTAATTAAATGACTGCTCGATCTAAACTCATTCTCCTTTCTGTCTGCAGCTGCTGGCTTTCACTAGAGAACGGAGCAATCTGGGCTTTTGTGGCACCGGCACTGTTTGTAATTCTGGTAGGTGACCCTGCTCCTACAGGGCTGACTTGAAGGTTTCACGTCAGTTTTTGTGCCAGGCCATTGAACTTGATTGAACTACAGAGACAAATGGTTCTGAACTATTTTGTTTATTTTCCAGTTTTAGTGTTTTGCATGACTATATTCATCTGTGCATATTAATTCTCACACTATTCATTCCACTGATCCAAGTACAGCCTAAAATGCTGGGACAATGCTTCTTGGAAACAAGCTTATTGGGATCATTAACTAGACAGAACTGACTGAGCTTGGGGGTTTTGCTGGTTCTGAGAAAGGACCCTGAAAGGAACAAATTCTGCAGTTTGTGTTTTATATAGGACATTAAAAGTTGAAAGGCCAGTTCTGTCCCACTGGTATTTGAGGCCACCTCGGACACTGATGTCGCTTATAGGGACGGACCTTTCCCAAGGAGGGTGCGGGTTCATGACTCACATACTGATATACTCATACCCTACAGCAGTTTAATTATGCCCACGCATTAAACTACAGCAAATTGTTCCCTGATGACTTAGGGAGGCAAGGTTGTTTGCAGGGATTACGTGGGCGATTACCCCTCTACTGCATTTCCAATCCTGTAATTGATCAAGTGATATGTTATTTTTGCCGTGGGCTGTAATGTCAGAGAAGTAGACCCGTTAATTAGTGGAACTGTATTTTCTTTAAAGCTTTACTTAAGATTTTAAGGACATGAGCCCAAATCTGGAGCAAAGTCTGCGCCTACTCTGCCAGTTAAGGAAGTGCAGGTCAAAACGAGAGCCCAATTACCCGCTTGGAGAAGCAGCAGCAGGAAGCCAATGACTCCGGCTTTTACTTCCCCGAGAGAAGGGCAGAATTCCTAAGGAAAGCCCAGGGACATCCCCAGCTCCTTCAGACAGAGAAATCCCCCAGATTCTCCTCAAAATGACCACCCTCACAAGCCACAGGGAGGAGGGAGAGCTCTACATATGGCCAGTGCCTCTAGGCCATCAGTGTTTGCTATAGCGTATTCCTATAGCTGTTTGGCAAGCAGGATGTGGCTGCTGGGATCACCTTTGGGATCACAGGCAATTTTCAGCTCAATGGATACCCTAGAATAATTAGCCTCAGAGACAGCTAAATCAGCACTGGTCATAGGCAGCCCAGCATCTCTTCCAGTCTGGCTACAGGTGCTGAAAACTGGCTATTCAAACTTGTTTTTTTTTTTTTTTTTTTAATTTAAGTTGGCATATTGATGTCACAGAAATTGCTTCATGCTAGGCTGTTCATCAGATGATTAACAGCAGCACTGGAAAATCGCTCTGCAGTTAGGACAGAATATCTTTCACCTAGGTGAAAGGTAAAATAAATAAGAAATGTTGATCACTGGGTTAGAATTGACCAAACAGCTCTGGACCGTACTCCAGCAAGCTTAATTTCTTGCCTTCTGTATGTAATCCTGTATTCAAAGGCATGTAGGTATTGATGACCGGAGAACATTTAAAATAATGTAATATTCAAACGTCTTCTTATCGTATCTACACTTGCTTTATGACCGTTGTTTAGCTACAGCAGAGGAAATGAGATGCAACCAGTAAAATCAAACCTTTCTCAGCTCCTGTCCAAAGATGGTTTTAATCAAAACATGTCAAATAGTAAAGCACGTACTAGTCTGAGTGAGCACAGGCTTCAGCAGTTTTCGTGCGTAGCTGCTTGCCATAAAAGCAAGGGTTTAAGTCTCTGGCTATCACTTATGATATATAATATCTGACAGTTCAAGTTATATTCTTGTAGGGATACAAATATTTTGAGAAAGATAAAGACTGAGCTCACGAGCTTGATCCACGTAGAACAATTTGTTGAATAGTCTAAACCCAGCTCTGCCCAAAATAGCAGCAAGCTGGTTGACAAATTATTCTCTCTGGGCATTGAATATGCTCGCTGAAAAATGTGTTAGTGCCTATAGGGAAATAACAAGGTTAAACACTATTTTGTGTGTGCATGTGCGCCTGAGTTCTCTAAATAGCAAATTAGCCACTCGTTGCAGGAACTAGTGTTCTGCTCCAAAAATACATCTTACAAAGCAATTTTTGACTACTTTAATCCATAATTTCTCCCTGCCAAGAAAAAGGATTATGCTGGGAGGGAAATAGGGGGATTGCTTTTTTCAACTCCCACTCCCCAGGGTCGAGGCAGACACATTCTCCTTTCGTCCTGCCACAGCCCCACAGTCAATATAGACTTGGTGGAGCCTTCAACAGGATGATGTGTGATTCTGGGAAAAAGAATTCTCACGCATACTTCTCTAGGGAGTAATTCACAGAACATCCCAGCCCTACATGGATTCCCATATTCAAAGGGCACTTTTCTTGGGGTTTGAGTGAAGAAATGTAAGGAAAGAAACAATTCCCTCTACATGTGCATATTTTGGCTTCTAAAGATCACGTTCCATTGACCCCACACCTGCAAAAAACACCAAAGCCCAGACCTCAACAACATCCTCTCAAGGCAACTTTGCAAGAAAATTGTTGCAATTAACTTGAAACCAAATTAATCTCAGTTGAAGTTGGCCTGAGAAAACATGTCTTCAAAGGCACATCTTAGACAAAGCATCTGAATTTTTGGAACAAGATACTCAAACCTTATGGCAGAAGACTTTGTTTGTTATCAAACATCTGCTACCTTGGTGCATTTCCATAGATAGGGCAAAATTAAGGTAATTCTCCAGAAAGTGTCTGTGTCTATGGAGCAATGGATATGCTAAAGACATAAACCAGTTGATTGTGGGATATGAAAATCCTCAGCTGCAGCGGCAAGTTCTTTCTATTGCTTTCCTTGTAGTTATTTTCCTGGTGTTTTTTATTTTTTTGGAAAAATATTTCTAGCAAGCAGCAATTTTGTGGAGCTGAATGATCTCCTTAGCGTGTTGCTAACACAATTCAGTGCTGCAGGGTCATCAGCTTTGTAATCAATAACTTCATATAACACTCCTGGGAACCTGGGGGTGCAGATTGCCATCACTGTCTGCCACTGGTATATTAAACACACAGGACAAGATGCTCTCCCCTTATACTTGCTAATCATACATGATTTAGTAAGTTCTATTGGCTTCATGGTAATTATTCCTAGCTTTATGAGTAGCAGTGTAGAATTAGGCTCATTTTCCTATGCTGAATAGCAGCTCACTCTGCAAGTAGGTCCACAAATTTAAAAGTGACAACTTGTGTCCCTTATTAGGCATCACTCATCATGATAAAAGGTGACTGAATTGGACTCTTGATGTTCAAAGGCCTTGAAAGGAGTAGGATTCTTCAGAGTTGTTGAACGTGAGCACATACTCAAGTGCTGGGGTGGATTACAGCATAAATTAACAGATCACAAGAGAGAAACTCTTAATTTTTTAGAACAAGGGAATAGATTGTAAGAAATTTAAAATGAAAGATTGATGTTAGAACAAAGGAGAAATCGGAGATCTACTTCACCTTTTATTTAGTATTCCTCTTGTGCGTTTCCTTTCGAGGCTTAATGGCTTACTTTGATTTTCAGCTCTGAAGCCTGTAACACTGCATGTATTAACACTAAGTAAAAGTTGTGTACACACAAATTCATAATAACATAATTTGGTCTATTCTTTCTGGTCTGGTTTAGCTAAGGGTGCGATCAGGCTTTCTAAAATCATTCCCAGTTTTGAACTAACTCCACCAAATAGCTTTGTATGGAAATGTATAATGCCCAGTAATGATTCGTGATGCGACCTAGCCATGGGCAGCACTGCAATAACTCACAGCATTAGTGTGCAACTAATGATGGGATAAGAAGCAAGTTAACTGATGCCATCGGAGCAGGTTACAGCTCGGATTGGAAGGGCCTGTTGTAACTCTCTGCACCGTTGCCTGAAACTGAAGTGCAGCCTAAAATAGTTTGTGGTTTTAGGAAAGCCGGTCAATGGATTTAATTAAGGCAATATGCTTTTTATCCATATTTTTAGTTCCTCTATGCTGCCAAGCTTTTTCCTGGCTAGGACACAACACGCCAGATCAGAGGGTTTTACTCATGGGATTTCTGCACCGCACTAAAGAAGCAATAAAAATCTCATGAGATCCAGAGAAAATCTGGATGAAACCCCTGCAAGGAAACTTAAGTGAAGGAAAGAATCTGTCTCACTGTATTTCTGTCCGAGCTCTGTAAAGGTCTGTAAAATAGGGAAACGGCTCTTTGAAAAGCAAGCCACCCTGACATGGGAGTTCAAGCTGCATTTCTGCCCCTCTGGCTTCGGTGACAAAACTACCCCTGAGTGCCTTTGTGCTGCTCTTGCAGCTAGACCTCCACAACGTCCTGCTGGACTGTTGGCAAAGGGCTGCAGCATTAAGTGTCACTACTGCTCATTCTTGTAGGTCTCAGCACATTCTCCTTTTCATGTCTGTTCCTGTAAGCAGGACTGCATCATCAAGAACACAAGGTTTGGCTCATGCACTTTGTGTTTTCCCCGTCCAAAAAGCTGATCTGAAGGAATATTGATGAGGAAAGATAATATATAAAGGTATCTTTTATTACACATTAAGCTCTAGTCTTGATCAGACAACTTTTAGGCAGGTGAAGCTGCTGCTAGGATGAGCCAGATCCCGCTGAGGCGCTGGGCTCTTTCCATGGGCTCCGGAGGGCTTGGGATGAAGCCTGCGGTTAAGGAGAACTGGCAGCTCCCGTGGATTGCACCGAGCGTGGAGAGCGCCCGGGCTGCGTTAGCCTTGAAAGGAGCCCTGGGCACTAACACAGATGCTGTTGCAGCGAGCTGCATTCTTTGAAAAAACAGAATGTGGTCAGTGCCTGCAAGCAAGTAAAGTCTAAGTCTGTGGGTAATTTCAAGGCAAAAATAACTGCAACTGCCAGGCAATCTGGCCTTTCAGAGAAGTAAAAAATAAGGGCTATTTGTCTTATCTAAATGTTTATGCTCCTAGATTGAATGTTGTGATAAAGGTTAAAATACAGTGTTTCATCAACTAAGCATCTCCTGTTCAAATCATTGGCACAGTATTTGTGCCAGATTAAAAAAAAAAAAAAAAATCCAAGGGAACAATTCAGTGGCTGTATTTTGGTTTCCCATTATAATGACTGTGGAAATACCTCCATGATTTGCTTACTGAAAAACTACCAAAGGAAGACATCCACAGCTAATCTGCTTATTTAGGAGTAATTTAGAAATTACTCTGATTTCTCATAATACTAAAACAAAAATTTTCAAGTGTTTCAAGAGATTTAAGTATAGAATCTGGGGACTTGAGTATAACAGTTCAAGGCTAATTTTACAAGTACTTTTTTTTTTAAATTTGAAATAACACTACAGTGTTTCATTCTCAGCTGATAAATATTGTATTGATGCTTCCCAAAAGGGATGCACTGGCTGGACAACAGGAGGATCTCAAAGTATTTGTAAAGCTCCATTTTGTAAAACTCAAAATTATTTTTGCATAATCTGCATATTTTAAAAATGCTATGCAGAAAGCAAAATACAATAGTGTCTGAAGAAGACACTGTTAGGAAGAACTGTTAGGGAGATATCCATAGGGAAATGTTAGAAGGGGACACTGGCATTTTTGATAAAAATGAATGAGGTTGCTGAAAAATATTAGCAAGGAAATAGGTGAGGGGTACAGAGAGGCCTTTCCTGCGAAATTCCCCTGGGAAGTTGGAGCAGTGAGGATGGTTGCTTAGTGGACATGCAGCAGAAATGACTGGAGAGTTTGGGGAAGAGAGGAAGAAAACAGAAAGTGTAACTTTTATACGTTCACCGTTTGCTGCTTCTATCAGCCTACATATTTAGCATACAAGTGAGTAGCTCAAAAATGCCCATTACTGCTTTGTAGAAGTCCGAAAAAGTATTTTCAGAATATGATTTGGTGGGAAAAGGAAAAATGACCCCAGTGCCATTGAGCATTGAAACTGTTATTCACCTTTGTAAAGCTGAACGAACAATGAGTTCACTTGTAATTAAAAGGCTGTCAGCTCCCACGGGGAACACCCTGGGCCGGATCTGAAGCCTTGGCAGGAGGGAATTCTTGCAGCTCTGCTCATGTTTACACCAGGTGATGATCAGCCTTGATGATGAAGGAGTGGACAGATGTTTTGACATATATCAAGGAAATTATCATCATCAAATGTAAACAATTTTTAATTCAACCCCTCATCCCTCAACATTAAAATATTTATTTCAATATAGATTATGGTTATTGAGTTTTAACTAAGTAAAAGCGCCACTCAGAACTGTTCTCTTTCTTTTTGTTCTACAGTTAAAAGCTAGATTTGTTCTTTTCTTGTTCTTAACTTCATGCTAAATATTCTGCTTTGTAGCCAATATGTAACTTTGGACAGGAAGGGGGGAAATATGTCTTTCACCTTCACATTCTGTTCCTTTCTCTTTTTCTTTTTTCTTTAAACCCAAGGTCTTTTCACAACAAGACAGTGTTTGCCACATCTCCTTTAAATGGTAAAGATTCCTTTCTTTCTTCACCTCTGACTCCAGAGCAAACTTTCTTTTGTTGCATCTTTTTAGCGTTAGTCTTTTCAAAATTTCCTAGATCTCTGGTGGGGATTCTTTTCATTTTATGGATGTTTCTGCTGGGTCGGACATCAAAAAGAGTACGTCCTTTGAAGAAGAGAGTTCAAGCCTAACATGTTTTCTTTATTGCTAGTTTAAAATATATCTCGTTTGCAAGCAAACTTTGGGAAGGAACCAGAATTATACACCATAAAGTCTAGCGAGAAAGGTGCTTTCTGAAGTATGTGTGTGTATAAGCAGAAGGGAACACCCCCATGCCTCCAGTTCATTGAAGTTTCTGTCTAATTTGCCAGATGGTGATAGATTATTGGGGTAGATTATTTGCAGAATAGGGATCCTTATCACTTCTTAATTGCTGCAAGACCTATTCAGTGCATGGGAGAATGAATCCAGTGGCAGTGAAGTCAAACAACAGCCTAAAAGCAGAAAACAGGCAAAGTCCCTATTTCCTGCTTTATTTGTACAATCCACCCTTAGGATACTTTGCACCTCTCACTTGTGCAGTACTTATTTTCCTGATCGAGTCTTTTTTTGTTCCTCCTCAGGTCAATATTGGTATTCTCATTGCTGTGACAAGAGTTATCTCACGAATCAGCGCAGACAACTATAAGGTCCATGGAGATGCCAATGCATTCAAGTAAGTTTTTCTCATTCAAACTGTGCTCCAACAAGTTAATAATCTGAAACTCAATGTCATATTAAAAAGGCAGGTATCTCATCCAAGAACTTATGCAGTATCATTCTTTCTTTAGAAGAAATCAAATAGTGCCATATTATTCTCTTGAATAAGTCAATGAACCTTTTTTTTTGAAAGCTGAATGCTGCACAGGATGAAGCCAGTGGTTCTGCACAAGCTAAGGGGTTTTCCTGTCTTTTAGAGACTCCACTTTTCACCGATTTACAGTTTCCATTTTTATTAATGGAGAGGTTCCTCTTCCTGCTGTATTCAAAGATAAATCTCACAAAGTATCATCAGTATAGGGTATTACGACAATTCTACTCCTTCAGAGGATAAACCTTGTTTCTAGCCCCAAGTCAGCATAATATTTAGGCATGTACTTATCTTTAAGACCCTCTTGATACTGCAAAGCACACAGACTTATGCTGGATTTAAATGTGTACTTAAATCCAAGTATTTCTTTGTATCATAGTGCTTTGAGCCTCTTGGGATGCTGGTGTTTCTGAGTGTATCATGTTTAAATACTGTGCTGGAGAGGTGACAGGGGAAATGTGCAGTCGGCATGTAGCTGCAGCAGAACACTCAAGGACAAATTCCTTTTTCTAAAATCCAGAGAATTGCATATGTGTAGCTAAGAGGATAATATATGGATGCTGAATATTGCATTTCCTACCTTCTAAAGGTGCTTTAGTATGTGTAGCTAAGAGGATAATATACGGAGTTTCAAGTAAGATGCTGAATATGGCATTTCCTACCTTCTAAAGGTGCTTTATTCAAAATATAAAAAGGACAATGTGTATAACTCAAGGAATATGTAACTTAAAATGTGATGATGGTTTATGTTTTATGATTCTGAGTTGCATGCCGTTGTGTGATAGGGATCTGTAATCTGTCACAGTCCTGAAATGGTGGCATAAAGAATCATTTCTATGCTTGGATTACTTATGTAATTTTTAAAATGCCATTAAGTTTTCAATGTTTGTGATACTTTTCTAATTGGAGTTATTTTAGTTATTGTATATTTATTCAGCAGGAATAGAAAAACAGTAAATAAGTTTACACAAAAATCTATAAAATAATTACTTTCTAGTGAAATGAAAACATTGGGAATTAAAATGGCTGTTGAATCAGGCTTGGCTGAGTACCTGTGACCTTCAGAAATACAGAGGAAATATAGAACCTTAGGAGGCAAATAACTGTATTGTCAATGCCAATTTGTATAGTCTATTAGAGTTATGAAAACAAAGGAACAATCTCCATTAAACAGAAGAGGAACTACAAAGATAGCTCTGTGTACTTAGACATTTCATTACTTGCACTCTAAAGACTTGATTCAATACACACTGTACCCTGCATACTGATACATAGATAGATGTCTTAATACAGCTATATATGTGTATATATATAGAGAAAATTTATGAGTAGTTGAGATAGAATAAGAAGAAAAGCATTTTATCAGGGCTTAATATTCTTTGTCTAAATAACAGAGCTTTAGATTTGCTGTGTCAGAGCACTGTTGAAAATGTGATTTCTGTAGAAACCCTGAACCAAAAGATCCTTGTTCCAAATATTTTTTTTTGAAATCCAGTTTTAGAGTTTTACCTAACAAACAAAATCAAGGTAGCGGAGAAAAGTAATAAGTCGTGGGAAGATATGTATGAAACCATTCAATCATGAAATTATTGGTTAGCAGAAATATGCTTTGGTAGGACAGCTTTACTCATAGGATTAAATTAATTCAATTAAACATAATTAAAGGTAAACAGAAGATAAACAATAGCTCTTTTGTGAATATTATTACAGAAATGTGTCCTCAGGAGAAATTTGAAATGAGTAGGGAATAAATAGCTTTCCAAATCAGATCTTAGAAAGTATTTATACCCTAATTCAATATAGTACTGAAGCATGAAAAAAAATTAGATTTTCATCTACAGAAGTTGTCACAGAAAATAACTGGCCTTATTGTTGGAAACAAAAGAGAAAAATAAGGCCTTTGTAAAACTGATTTCTTTTTCTTGTCACTAGTATTGCTTACAGAGTTGAGAAGTTTATATGTCTAGTATAAAGTGGTATATCATTCGGTCTGTAGTAGTTTTTCTAAAAAAAGACAAGAAAGAAGCACAAGAGGATTCTGTTCTGACAGCAGCATGGGAAATGCTATTCCCAATAAACCTAAATGCCTCCAGCCCCTCAAAGCTCCGAGATGCCGATTAGATCGTGTTAATGTGCACGAGCAGATGCACAAAATGAAGCCGTGGCACGAGGTACACAGGAATCGCACAAGCGCAGTAAGCTCTGCAGGTCCCATCAAGTCACTCCTGGCAAAGGCTACAAGGCAGTTTTGGGATCAACAAGTTCAATTTAGCTTGGGGAGAAATCACCGTAACTGCAAAACGCTCTGTGTAATGTGAGCCCTAAATAAAGGAGCTGTCAGGCATCCATCTCGGTAGGGCAGTTCACTTGACATTAGCTATGGGGGAAAGCGGAATAGGAAAGAATTTATCAAACACTTCCTAGAAATGCTCTGAATTAAAATGGCACAGCATGATTTCAGGGAGACAAGAAATATATGTTGTTGCAGGGTGTGTTTTTTTTTTTTTTTTAATCCCCTGCAATAAAGTAGCAGATAGGCCTTTTTTTTTTTTTTTTTTTTTTTTCTTTTCTTTCCCTGTATTCATGGTTTCAGAAAGTAAAGATTAAAGAAAATAAGAGCCAAGAATATAAAGAAAATAAGATCCACCAGGCAAGGAGATAGAGAGGCCTGCTCAATGCTATAATCTTGAGGGGGGGGTAGAAAAAAAAGCAAGGATTTCTGTGCTGTATTTTCAAGCAGGGATGAAATTTAAGTGGGAAGCACTAAGTTGTTGCCTGGGACAATTTGTTCATAAATGGCAGCTGTAGATACTGGAGTCTAAAAAGCTGAAGCCTGTTTTGCTGAAGGGCTCCTCACGGCCTGCACCCCCTGGGCAGGCCTTGCGGCCAATAAGTCTCAAGATGAAGCCCCTTCTTCCCCTTCCACCAACGTCCAGGGCACGAGCGGACGGAGAAAGGCCAACTTCGGCCACACAGTTCATCTCGGCCGGCTGTGACTCTTGCCCTAAAAGTGCTGATTTCTCCCCAAAAGCTCCAAGGAGGCCCCGATCACTGAGGAAGCACCGAGTACTCTGGTGCTACCTGAAGCTGGGGGAGGTACTGAGGCCGGGAGGGGTGGCGCCCACATTGAACGAGGATTAACCCAGGGAACTGCCCCAAAAAGAGGCTTTCAGAGCCATAACAATATGGGTGAGGGAAGATATTTATTGTTAGAGGCGCGTGAGGCCTGCAGCGTGTTTAGTTTCCCCACAGATTAAGTTACTTGGCAACGCAAATGGATATTGCCAACAAGGCCTTGTTTCTCTTGGCAACAGACGGCAATAAAGTGATGTAATTATTTAGAGTCCTCATTCCTCGTTTTTCCAGATGGCAACAGGTCTTCCCGTCGCGCTGACTCAGGCGGGACTATGAGGTGTGCAGGGAACAAGCCCGACCAGGCCCCGGGTGCCTCTGCAGCGAGCGCCTGCGCGGCCGCCATGGCCTCCTGCGAGTAAAATACCCCATGCAGGAGTCCTAAATGTGCTTTTTCTCCATTTTTCTCAGTTATTTTACTTTTAAAAACTTCCTTTATTTCCCAAAAGCCCAAACTTGGTCCTTAAAAGCAAAATTAAAAGAGGAAATGTTTTAGAAAATTCGTTTTTTTAATCATAAAATTTATTCATTCAAAATCTGCCCCACTTGCATTCCCTCCAGGATGAAATGCAGTACATTAGGGGATGAGTGACCTTTTCAGGTTCAGATGTTGCTTGTCACGATGAATATTTCAGATAGCACTTTGCTGATCATTTTATTCTGGTTTTAGAGACATAGGAGTGGTCTTTTTCTTTGGGAGGGAGGGTACTAAATAATAATAGCCCCTAAAATAAAATATTCCAGAAGCTGAAGCACAGAAGAGTATATCTTTAATGGATATGATACATGTACTAGAGAAAAAATAGTTTAACATCCAACCAATTATTTATTCAAATTAATTTCATTAATTAGTACCAGAACAGAGATATTAAATGATAAATAATGGACTCCTATGTGTGACTGCCTGGATACTAAAACATTTGGTAGATGCAGGGGTTTTTTTTCTGTGCACGAAAATGTTTGCTTTTTAGCATTTTAGCATCTTCTTTAAGAACTGAAGCATATGAGCCATGTCAGTTGTGACTGATTATATTTAACACTTTATTAGAGGAGAAGCTATCAACTCTCAGCAAAATTAATATATATTAATTCAGCTGCCGGTTTTTGAGGATGTTTTGCATCCAGGAAACACCTTTTCCACCAAAAACCTTGTTTGAATGTTTTTTCTTTATAGAATGCTGAAGCAGATACCTTGAAACATTTAAATGTGTATATATTTGTTTACATTATCCGTCCTTCTTCACTAGGCCCTCAGTTAGGGGGATAATTAAACATATGTTTGCATTTAAGCATATGAGTAGCCTCTCTCTGAATTTAATGCAATTAAAGCAGATTAATGGAATTGCTCATGTGCTCAAAGAGGCACATGATTACATTTCTGAGTTATGGACTGTTTAAAATTCTTTTTTCCCACTTATTCCTGCTGCATCTAAATTCCTAATTCGTATGCACTCACTCTATCTTACTAGGAAATAAAAAGCTTTTCTCTTGCTGGTTTATCCCTTCAAAGTCTCATTGCTGTGGTTACTTGGGAAGGAGAAAGTAGCTGGTACTTTGAGAAAGGGCCTCTATGTGACCACATGTTGCCAGCATGTTTATTTAACTGTACAGGAGGGGAACTCTTCCCCAGTTAAGTCTATCAATCAGAGGTAGTTGTTGGACTGCAATTGTTACATGGCTTCTGGTTACTAGCCTTAAAGTATAATGCAATTTTCAGAGGCCTTAGTATTGCC